GTTACATTGGTGGTCAGTGTATATACCTCAGTTACATTGGTGGTCAGTGTATATACCTCAGTTACATTGGTGGTCAGTGTATATACCTCAGTTACATTGCTGGTCAGTGTAAGGCCCCCTAACTAATTCTCTCCTCACTCTCTCCTGTATATTCTCCCCCAAAAAACGTCAGTACGTTGCTAGAGTGTTCAGGTTTTGCTTAAAGAAAAGGCGGCAACCCTAACGCTGTCCTTCTGGAGAGAAAAGCAGATGAAGGCATTGTCAGTGGGAGTCGTGTGATCTCTGACACATTACTGAGCATGCCGCACAACAATAAATCTGATGACAGGTCCACTTTAGAGTGTCTTTCGCGTAAAACCCCGATTGCTGATATTCCGAGGTGCGCCTTCGCCGAGGGGAGCCGAGGGCGAGTATGGGAAGATGCGCGGCTGGTGGGAGTGAAATGGCAGCTTGGCAGACAGTCAGACAATGACAAACAATGTACGGCTATATATAACGCGGTACACAGCTGTGCGCGATTATTCACACGCCGTACGCTCATCAGTCACATGACCAACACCTGCCCTGACGCAGGGATCAGGGCGCGACGACACGACAGGTTTCTGACCGGAGGAGGCGGGTCAGAGAGTCAAAGAATTTCTACCAAAATACTTCAAAGACCCGGGTCTGGCGCTGGCATCAGGGGAGGGGGAGGGGGCATGCTACAGAATGGCGTCACATGTCTGCCAATGTGGCGATGGCGCGGCGAGGTTTACTGACAGCTGTAATACATTGTGATTGTGAGGGGTACCTGACAGGCAGCAAGGATCATGGGAAAGGAGCAGAGGATTATGGGATGGGTATGTGGAGTAAGGAGCATAGGATTATGGGACGGGTATATGGAGTGGGGAGCAGAGGATTATGGGATGGGTATATGGAGTAGGGAGCAGAGGATTATGGGACGGGTATATGGAGTGGGGAGCAGAGGATTATGGGATGGGTATATGGAGTAGGGAGCAGAGGGTTATGGGACTGGTATATGGAGTAGGGAGCAGAGGATTATGGGATGGGTATGTGGAGTAAGGAGCAGAGGATTATGGGATGGGTATATGGAGTATGGAGCAGAGGATTATGGGGCGGGTATATGTAGTAGGGAGCAGAGGATTATGGGATGGGTATGTGGAGTAAGGAGCAGAGGATTATGGGATGGGTATATGGAGTATGGAGCAGAGGATTATGGGGCGGGTATATGTAGTAGGGAGCAGAGGATTATGGGATGGGTATATGGAGTAAGGAGCAGAGGATTATGGGATGGGTATATGGAGTAGGGAGCAGAGGATTATGGGACGGGTATATGGAGTGGGGAGCAGAGGATTATGGGATGGGTATATGGAGTAGGGAGCAGAGGATTATGGGACGGGTATATGGAGTGGGGAGCAGAGGATTATGGGATGGGTATATGGAGTAGGGAGCAGAGGGTTATGGGACTGGTATATGGAGTAGGGAGCAGAGGATTATGGGATGGGTATGTGGAGTAAGGAGCAGAGGATTATGGGATGGGTATATGGAGTATGGAGCAGAGGATTATGGGGCGGGTATATGTAGTAGGGAGCAGAGGATTATGGGATGGGTATATGGAGTGGGGAGCAGAGGATTATGGAACGGGTATATGGAGTAGGGAGTAGAGGATCATGGGACGGGTATATGGAATAAGGAGCAGAGTAATAGAGGTCAGCCCTTCGTCTCACATACAGTAACCAGGGATGGTCCCCGGGGTCACCTACCTGCACCTCCCTGGCGTGATACGCGATGATTAGTCCGAGCAGAATAATGGAGGATAAACTTATAAGGCATTTCAGGGCCAACGAGAACATGGAGTCCTGCAAGAGAAAAGCGCAGAGTTAGATTGGACGTCGGCTCACTTTTTGCCGCATTACATTGGGTACTTTAAGCGGCGCCATGCTGCAGCTTTGACCTGTTGTAATGTTCCCTTTATAATGACCATAAGAACCTGAAGCATTATATCCTAAACCCACCTTATTCTTGTAGCCTTGCATACCATGAACAATGTCAACCAATCACAGGCTGAGTCTACAATCCAACGTCCCCACGCACACACGGAAGGGACTACTGTAGGCGGAAGCCAAATAAACTTAAACTCATTACAATGTTTATAACATTATTAAAGCCCAACTCCGGGCAAAAGACAAAAAGAACCCGTACAGTGAGTTTTAGGGAGTACAAGAAGAGCAGGGAGTACTTACCTTAACCCACTCTCTGCTGCTCTCGTTTACTCCCTGGCACTCTGGAGTGTAGGTGGTCCCTCGGGCGTCACAATGTGGGGGCTTGACCGGGATTTACCTAGAGAGGAGGCTTACAAGAGGATGGGAGGGGCCTGCCGGAGCGAGGAGTAAGGTATGTAATATAGCTTTACCCCAATATTTAATGAGCAGTTACCCTTGCTTGATGGGGTGGGGGGGGCACTGCAAGAACTTTTTTAGCTGGAGTTGCCCTTTAAGTTCTGGATTGGGCACGCAGCGTGCATTTCCCTTTAACACTAAGCCCTCATTTACGTGTTTTTTGAGAGTTAGTGTTTTGTTTTAGCCAATGGAAAGCCAGTTGCTAGGAGGAGGTGCCGGTTGGTAGGCACAAAGCTGCTGCAAACAACAACAAAAAACAAATGCACGTTAGGCGCGCTTTTTGGGTATTGTTTCTGTTGCTCCTATTCAAGTCTATGGGGTAAAAAATGTGCAGAAAAAGCTCACGTACTTTTTCACGCCGCGCGGCGCTTAGACGGGCGCCATCGAGTATAACGGGAATCTTCATGCAGAGCGCCATCAGCAGATGCGTGACTCGAGGATCGTTGAAATGTCGGAGTCTGAGTGCCCTTCAGAACTCTTATGATGTCTTTAGCATCCTTACAGAGCTGAAAGGGCGCTTGAGAGCTTCAGCAGGCTGCTATTGGCACCTCAGTGTGCTGCACAGTATAGGCCAACGCACAACGCACAGTACTGCAGTGCACATATTGAGAGACGTGTGTTGTGCTGCGTTGCATTGGCGGTCCATTCATAGAAAAACGAGTTGCCTTAACATAGTGCACCGAAAGGGGTCGCCTGAGTGTGAATCCAGCCTTGGGGTCAGCTCACAAGGGTTTAGGGCCCATTCATGCCAGCGCATCGTGGTGACACACGGGCGTATAACGTGCGTTACATTAAGGATTAAGCAGCCCATTTATTTCGAATGGGCCGCCACAGCTCAGCAGCATAAAGGTGATCTGGCTGACGAATCAAAGGGCGTCTAGGGGCTAATTCACACCGTGTGTTTTGAATGGGAGGGGGTGATCACATGACCTCACTGCCCTGCTGGCTTTTAGTGCCCTGGCTCGGAGTGGACACATGACCTCGCCATCTAAGCCTGGGGGGTGGTCACATGACCTCACTGCCCTGGCTCGGAGTGGACACATGACCTCGCTGTCTTAGCTGTGCTGAAAGCTAGCAGGGCAGTGAGGTCATGTGACCACGTCCCAAGCTATAGGCATTGGTGGTCAGTGTGTATACCTTTGTTACATTGCTGGTCAGTGTATATACCTCCGTTACATTGCTGGTCAGTATATATACCTCCGTTACATTGCTAGCTGAAAGGGCGCTTGAGAGCTTCAGCAGGCTGCTATTGGCACCTCAGTGTGCTGCACAGTATAGGCCAACGCACAACGCACAGTACTGCAGTGCACATATTGAGAGACGTGTGTTGTGCTGCGTTGCATTGGCGGTCCATTCATAGAAAAACGAGTTGCCTTAACATAGTGCACCGAAAGGGGTCGCCTGAGTGTGAATCCAGCCTTGGGGTCAGCTCACAAGGGTTTAGGGCCCATTCATGCCAGCGCATCGTGGTGACACACGGGCGTATAACGTGCGTTACATTAAGGATTAAGCAGCCCATTTATTTCGAATGGGCCGCCACAGCTCAGCAGCATAAAGGTGATCTGGCTGACGAATCAAAGGGCGTCTAGGGGCTAATTCACACCGTGTGTTTTGAATGGGAGGGGGTGATCACATGACCTCACTGCCCTGCTGGCTTTTAGTGCCCTGGCTCGGAGTGGACACATGACCTCGCCATCTAAGCCTGGGGGGTGGTCACATGACCTCACTGCCCTGGCTCGGAGTGGACACATGACCTCGCTGTCTTAGCTGTGCTGAAAGCTAGCAGGGCAGTGAGGTCATGTGACCACGTCCCAAGCTATAGGCATTGGTGGTCAGTGTGTATACCTTTGTTACATTGCTGGTCAGTGTATATACCTCCGTTACATTGCTGGTCAGTATATATACCTCCGTTACATTGCTGGTCAGTGTATATACCTCAGTTACATTGGTGGTCAGTGTAAGGCCCCCTAACTAATTCTCTCCTCACTCTCTCCTGTGCATTCTCCCAAAAAAACTTCAGTACGTTGCTAGAGTGTTCAGGTTTTGCTTAAAGAAAAGGCGGCAACCCTAACGCTGTCCTTCTGGAGAGAAAAGCAGATGAAGGCATTGTCAGTGGGAGTCGTGTGATCTCTGACACATTACTGAGCATGCCGCACAACAATAAATCTGATGACAGGTCCACTTTAGAGTGTCTTTCGCGTAAAACCCCGATCGCTGATATTCCGAGGTGCGCGTTTGGGAAGACGCGCGGCTGGTGGGAGTGAGATGGCAGCTTGGCAGACATCTCAGCAGGGCAGTGAGGTCATGTTACCAAGACGGCAAGGTCATGTGTCCTCTCTGAGCCAGTGTACTAAAAGCTTGCAGGGCAGTGAGGTCATGT